GAGTAGGCAATCTTGTGCTAAGATTAATAATTATAAATTCTGAATTTAGGCAATCAGGACAAACAGATCAACCTAAATGAACTTAAAATTGCAATTTTTAATTAACAATAATGCAACAGATTATAAAATATGTTAGACAACAACATAGAATAGTGAAAAATATGCAATAGAAAATATGCTGTATCACACCTGCACATTTTCAGAAATATTAGAGTGATAAACATATGGAGTTTAATAAACAAGTTACATAAAATATCCTATGTAATTTCCATTATATTTAGATGGTTTACCAAGAAAAAAGTTTAAACTATTTTATTTTCATATAAAAAGTTCGTTACATTTTCTTTTATTTTTATACGTTCTATATAAGCTACAGCAGCACCAAAGAAGCGAAAACGAGAAGAAAAAGCATATAAAATGTGAAAAATAGATAAATTGATGAGTTGTAAAAATATTAATACAGTAGAGGAGAAGGTGGTATTATGGAACCCCAATTACATTTTAGTGAATTGTAAACAAGGTATCATAACTACACCCACATTTTTTGTGCGAAAAGTACTGGTAACTAGTAAACTAAATGTTCCTAATTGGATTTTTCGCTAGTGTAACTGTAAGTATGGTTTTTGAAGGCTTTTGTACAAAAAGTCCGAAAGTAGGCTTAGAGAAAATCGGGTGGTAATATGGAACCTGACTGTATATTTTCAAAAAAATGCTTTAATGTAGCCAAAAACAAATAGGAGAGGAGAAAAAATGTTAAATAATTACAAAATTATTTATTCCAATGTATTTTATCACAAAAATGCTTTTATAATAGAAAAATATGACCTCCATCAACAATATATATTCCAGCAGCTCTTTTTCGATATTTTCAGACTTTCTACCTAGTGTCTTTTTCCCAAATTGCTCCGGACGAATGTCTGATTGCAAAGAGAGAGTTCGGAGGAGTTGAGTTCCATATTACTGTAAAAGCACCAAAGGGGTCCGTATTTCACGCATCGCCATCTCGAATTAACTTATGTCTGTCGAGACCAAAATTTAAAAAACGTGAACATCACACAGATTAATATGTACCCCTAAGTCTCTGGAACGGAATACATGCACCAGTGAACCTACAACTACGCGATTTATATTTTAAAAATAATTAAATTCACTTAGCATTCAAAACTTGTGAATTTTGAAAAAAACAAATTTGCTGATTAAATACGGACAACCGTTTAACTGAAGTAAAACGGGTTTTCCCCTTGCTATGGATGTCTGCCTAGTTCAGTTCATCCACATTCCGCTACAGTTCGCCTTTATTATCAGTTCGAAATGGGGTGGTTCCATAATACCCGCAGTGTTCCATAATACCATCTTCTCCTCTAATAATAGTAAAAAAAAAAAAATGTTGAACGTTTCAATATCAAAAGTTGTGTTTAAAAATATATTTTTGTAATATTTTATAGTAGTTTTGATGTTGTAGAAAGCGAAAAATCGCAACCACTGAATGTGACTTCCCGTGTTTGATGTCATCTTGAGATCATATCGCCCTCGTTTCTTAAAAAATTAGAATTTTAATGAATATATTATGAAACTGCCAAAAACAATCGATAGAATAAAATTCAGCAATAACATTAATCGATAGCAGTAAAATTTGAATATCTAGAAAAACAATTGCGAGTGATTTACTGTACCTAATTGTTTGGTAGCAATTGCACGATGACCCCATTCACTTGTAGAATACAAAGAGCCTAAAAAATTTTATATCACAATTAAATACGTGCAAGATACTGTTATAACCGAGAAAAATGGCATTTAAAACACCATTACATATATGCAAATGCATGCGATTTATCTGATTGGAATGTGTAATTAATTGTACAAAAGTTATAATAATTTATAATGCTATATTCCTTTTTTTGTTAGAGGGTTGTTAAATTTTATGAAGTTCATCTGCATATAAAGTCACTACTAAACAGCTAGAGTCACATACAAATTTTTAAATACATGATACAATAAGACTCCTGTAAGGTTCACTTAATAGATTTATAATTTTAGAAAGTTGTCCTTGTTAAGAATTCTGATTAACAATTCAGTTTCAGAGGCGAAAAAGTCATTAGTTAAATTGCTCATTGGCTTATAACTCAACACGATGATGCTCCAATAACAATAGTTATCGGTATGTGCCCATGGGTATAACAGGGGTGCACAACCTGCGGCCCGCGGGCCACATACGGCCCCCTATCAACGTTTATGCGGCCCATGGACGGTACAGGCCAAATCCCTTCTTTCGAAGTTTTTAAGTGTAGAACTTTTTCCCTTTCACAAAGTCATTAGCACCCAACTGTTTTATGACTTTCCCTGAGGTGAGAAATGGGGGATTGTTCTATAAATAAGTCTATTTCTATCTAACANACGAGAATTTGGAAAATCTGCTTGTTGTTTCAACATCTGCCATTACGCTAGACATCAAGAAGATTGCCGCCAGCATCCTATCTCAGCCATCGCATTAATCACTTGGAGGTCCAGCCCCCAGTCAGTAAACTTAATCCTAATTTGGCCCTTCTTCAGAAAAGGTTGTGCATCCCTGGGTATAAGATCGTTCACAGAGCATTTCATGAATATATGTTTATGGTGCATTAGTTTCACTACAATGTTTACACTAAAATAAGCAAATTCATTCAAGAAGGAATATGTGTAAATTGTTTGGCAGTTCAACAGCAATATTTTCTCCAATAAGAACAAGATGAAAATAAAAAATGCAATATTGACAAATCATGTGGCAAAATATAATGCTGATGACTTTATAAAATGGCCAACATGATGCAATCTGCTAATTGATATTGTACTGCTACAATGCTTTGTACTCAAACATTTCTGTGACATGACTATACTTTCACAACTGCACAAGCATTGTGAAACATTGCACATAATTTCCAACATTATAATTGCGCAAGCATTCCACAACATTGCATATAGTTGTGCAATGTTGGAAATATCTCATTTGCACCTGGATAAATATTAAAATGAACACCTTATATATTTTCCTAATATAGTACTTATAGTAATAACAAATTTTCTCTATTGTATTTTTTTAATTGGAAACAATTGGGTCATAAATGGAAATTTAATTATAATACTAACTACTTCACTAGTTAAACTTTAGCTTAGAATCTGAATTGATAATTATATTTTGTAAATAAAATTAAAACTTATACACACTACAATTTCATATGTGGTAAAAGCATATCAGACAAATTTTCAATATCCACAAAAATGTGGGAAATTCAGTATAAAATTTTATTTCTATATAAAACTTCATACTTCAACCTTTTAAAAAGATTAATTATTTGATCTTCAAAACAATCTTTCTGTAATTTACAGCTGTATTACAAATTTACAGAGAAATATAATTGTAAACAGAAGTTTTCAGCATACAATGAGCATAACTAAATTATAGAATTCCAAGAAAACAAAACAGCAATTAATAAACCAACTCCTTTTGTTTCCGACATTTGAATTTCTTTAGTTAGAGTAAAAGTTATCACAATTTACAATTTTCTATACTGATACAAAACAGGAATAAATTACAAACAGGAAATAAAAAAAATCAAATAGGAATTAATATTAACTTTAATAAAACTAGTATAAACTAGTAAATAACCAGGATGATAGTTATATTTAAAATTTACAAGAAAATTCCTTAAGAAATTTTCACAGTAGGTTAACAGAAAAAAAAAAAACAAGGCTACTTCATCTTCCTTCATCCTATGTCTTTTTCACACCTCAGGAAGTTTTTTTTCTTACATATTTTACATATTGAGCACATAAGAGCCTACAATAAAATATCAACTCTACTGTAAGACTGTTCCCAAGGTACAAAAAGGACATTGAGGAGGTACTTTTCTGTTAACGGGATGCCAGTCGACATATACAGCAATGGGAAAGATTCAAACTCCAAAGGGTTTTGCATCCCAGAATTGTCAACTCCCTATATGAGCAAAAATGTCAAAGGAACCATACCCATACATGCAATCCTTTGTGAGATATTCACCTCCAAAGGTCATTTTTTAAGACATATCATATTACTGCCTATTCTTCACGCTCCGCACATAGTCATGTGGATGGGTGCTTGCCTTTGCATGCACTTTGGCATCCGAATCAAGGCAAGCTCCCACACTCTTCTAAAACTACATAACATCAAGTACTCTACAAATGGTAAAGAAGGCTACTCGAAGCTGGCGCAGTCGTGTGAGCTAAATAGTTAAACACGACAGTACTTTCATTGGATTAAAGTTACAATTAGCATCCCATTAACAGAAAAGTACCTATAAAAATTTGTTCATCAACCCACAATAAGCTCTAGTAATCTATCAACTTCCCACATAAATTGACCCACTGCAAATTCTCCAACAACCAGGCCCGGAATCTTACTTTATAAAAACAAATGGCAGAGCCGTATTAAGATGAAAATTGAAATAAGAATAGATTAAAGTAATTCCTCACAAGTTTAAAATTCAAAATAAATTTTCATTTATATTTATTAATTTATATATAAAAAACTATTACCCACAGTTTCTTATTATTATTAATTTATTAACTTTATTATTAATTTTAATTAAAAATGCTCAATTATTAATTTAAATTAAGAGCAAGCTTTATCATTGAACATATTGCATCCATTAATAGAGTAGTATGTTTCCTATTGTTGAGCAATAGTGCTCAACACTTGTATACAAATACTTCACATCTTTTAACCTCTTTTCACAAAGGAAATAAATGTAAAAACATCAAAATTCAATAAACTTTTATATTATATTTATATCGTAAACATTACAATGGAATATAATTATTAAGAAATATTTTAAATCTTTTCAATTTTAATATGAATTATTATATACCTACTGATGTACCAACTAGTATATAAATATATTATCTCATAACTTATAATACAGAATACATAAATATATTTATAAATTAATAAAATAAGTAAGAGAAAAGAACATCTGACCACCATTTACCTCCTAACGGAAAACTGATGGAAATGAGATGCTAGCGACCTCTAAATAGACCTCTGAATAAATAATCGTTTCTTCGATTTAAAAATATGAAATTCATTTTTTTTAAATATTATTATTTTAAATGAGTTTATAATTTGTAAAAATCTGTTTAAATTCAGTACATAAATTAAAAAATTAAAATTATGAAATATACTAGCCTCCTTTTTTTTGCCCTTTCCGCGACATTAAGAGGGTCTTTTAATTAGAGAAGGGAACGCTTTTGGAATTGGAACTGTTGGACTCAACGACGTATAAGTAGAATGGCAAACAGTGGCGTGCGGTGACATTTGATGATATAGCAGCTGTGTTTCTGTAAGAAGCCGACATCCAGGGGCATTAGTCAATTGCGCGTCAGTGATGGTCTAGGACAGGGGTCGGCAACCTTTTGAGTCGGAAGAGCCAAAATTACAATTTACAAAATTTCAAAGTTTTTAAAGAGCCACAAAATTTTTTCTTGCGAACAATAAATAGTAATAGTTTTAATAAAAATAAATAATAACAATAAATAGATTAGTTTTTTTGATAAAAAAACTAATCTATTTATTCATAAGAAAAAATATCTATTTATTCATATATAAGTAGTGTTTTTCACAACAAATTAGATAATAGAAACATCCGACGACGGCGTCATTCGAGAGCTTCCGACGGACTGACGACAGTGACGACGCGTGTCACGGGGGAGGGGTGCGGTGAAAAGCGAGTAC